CTTCTCTTTTGTTGGCCTCATTATACAGGGTGCTACCTTCAATGACTCATTCAAGGCTTCTGCCTCCTTATTTAGGACGTATGTATTGCAAGGTCACAAATCATTTTATTTGGCAGATTAATAATACATATTTAACTGTGATTACGTTTATATTTACATTAATGACTTGCCGTGTGTTTCCTTACTAAATTAGGTTGGTTGCTTGATTCAAGGTCTAGTTACATCATTCCTAAAATTAATCCACTCTAATGGATTACACCAATGGAAAGTTCTGTACAATACATGATGCTTTGGCAAGATTTGCGGGAGACGTGGATAATAGTTGCAATGTTTTGCCCTTTTTCCACCGCCATAACAAACATATCAGTGTGTGTTTTATACAAAAAAAATACATTTTGAAGAGAGAATCACTTTAAACAACAACCTGCCCTGTCGCTATCTGTGAGCTGCGGATGTTTTTATGCATCACTCTGTTAACTATTAAGCAGATCTCATTTAATCAACTCGTGATGTGTTTTTGACGTCCAAAGTAAAGAAAAGATCAATCTAACAGTAGCATTACATTTTTGCATAAAATTGTGCAAATTTTTCCAGATGGTAAATTATTGCTCCATTCTGTTAAACATGCGGCCTGATTTACAGCCAGTGTAATTTTGTACACTTAATCCACATGTATTAACACTGTCTGGTGGCGTGTGTTAGGTGGTGGAGAATACACAGACGCAACTAAACTGTGTCTGCTGTAGTTCAAATTAGATGCCACAGAAATATCCTTCAACCTTTCTCTTAAGCCTGTAACAACCCTAATCCCCCACAGTAACCCCTCCACCCTTCCTCGTTCATTTGCTTGCTGTAATTCCCGGAGTGGTGAAATGCAAATCTGCACTGCAGGGCCCACTAAGCAGCTTTCAGTGCTCGGTTCCTTTAAAAACGTGTATGCCACAAGCTAAACACTACAATACAAAATGTAATAGTTTATTCTATATTATGAGACTAGAGTGCAAGGTTGTACAAATATTGCCCTGAAAGGCACCTTCTTTATGCAGCATTGTATTCATTCATAAGCATAATGATGACTGCAGTCTTATGTTTGTTTGAGAACCTTGTTCCTCCGATATGCGCTCATATTGAATGAACATTGTACAGCTAGTTAAATAAGGCTCTTCTTTGTAATTGAATTTTAAAGCTTTAACTACTTGCAACAGAAACACAATTTGTTCTGCTGTCCTCCCACATTGTTTGCTGGAATTGTTATACAGGACAGAGCAGAACACATTGTGCTGAACATATATAATGTAACTCTGTACTGGCTGTAGCCACTACCCACAGATTTAAATAATTTGCAGACCAACACTCGATGGATGATTGGAAATAGCGAGTAACCGCTTAAAAGGCTTAAAGTCCAATGATAGTAATTGACACCCGAGGGGCACAGACCTGCCCTGAAGTCATTTGCACGCTGCTTACTGTATGTAATCTTCAATGGACACGCAGTGGAAATGACAAAGCCCATTACCACAATTACGTCCACAGTACGGCTGTCAACCTTTCTGGATGCAGCGTGTAGACAATAAAAGTAAAACTTTCCCTACATTAGCGGGTAAATCTTGCTAATTTGCCTGTAAGAAATAAATAATACGAATCCAGGCTATCTTGGGTTATCAAGGTCTCTAGAATGTAGCCTACTCTACTTTGCTATTTGTTCAGGTGTTTTAAAAAGGCTAGGGCTAGGCTATATGAGCTAACATATCAATACCTACATTTGCTAAATTTAACAATTTGCGAAGTTTGTTTCAGTTTTTCAGCAGCTTTGCAAAGAAATGCAGGTAAACTAAATACTAAAAGGAGACAGAATAGAAAACTAAATCAAAGAGAACCACTGATATGAAATCAACAGTACCGGAAAGGTGACTACTACATTTAAACGTAATAAGAATAACACGTAGAAAAAACATTAATCTTATTGAAAGAAATATATTGGGAAATAGCTGTCAGTCTTTTAAAATGTGATAATTTCTTACTTCCCCAAGCTTGAATTTAGCATCTAGCTACGCCTAGCCTACATGTTTGCCATATTGTTTTCACGCCCATCTGTTACCATACCATCTGTTAGGCCTTCACCTTGCCTTATTTTTGGAAAAATCTACTTTTTTCAAACAAGGAACTTGCAAACAATCATATCTTGTTTTTAACTTCCTTTTAGTTTCCAGAATAAACATCATTCTGCTGTTTGGGTAACAATCCAATACATTTTATGTAGGAAACTTTTCAATTTTAGATAATGTACTTTTTAACTCAAGACTGCATTAGGACTGATTACCTTGTTTGACAGAGACAAATCTTTTGTTGGCAGCTTGAAAAACTACTTGTGGATGACTCTCTTCGAGATCAAACAGCTCATCTTTTCCAGGCTTGGAGCAGCGGCCGGACCGCAGCGTCCCTGTGGGGCCCACTGGGGTCAGATATTTCCCATCACTGTCCTTAAAGGCCAGCTTTCCGGACTTCAGCTCCAGTGTAAAGCTTGTAGTATTGGTGTTCTCTTTCACCAGTTTGCCATCATTGCTGAGGAAACGACTGTCACAGGTCTTCAGGCTGTACTTGCCATCGAGGTATACCAAGGTGACCAGGGAGTGAACTCCCCAGGGAATGTTACTGTCCACGGAGATCTCTCCATCTGAAGCAGACAGATGGGCATAGCGCTTACGTGCGACGCTGAGCAAGCTGGCCTGCGGGTGTAAAGCCAAATGGACGGCCCACAGCTCTTGCTCCCCAATGGCTTGAGCAAAGCAGGACAGGTAGTCAGCCGAACCTCCAAAGTAACGCAGGTAAGGCTCTGATTGCAGAGCCCAGCGGCCATCAGATTGAGGCACAATAAGGAAGCGACTGTCAGGGTCAGGCTTCTCTGCCCCACATGTGATCTTCCCATCTTTGTCAGAAGCCAGATAGCGTCCCAGATGGCTGCGGAGGAAAACTACCAGGCCGTCTTTCTCATCCTGTTCTAGGGTCCAGATCTGTTTCTTCTTCATGCTGACGCCCGAGGCATTCACCTTAAAGCCAAAGGCCTCGGCTGTCAGGTAGCGGCTGTCATAGTTGATAAGGCCGAACTGCAGCTTCAGAGCCCTGTTAAATCCGTTTGTGGGCATGCTTGAACAGCAAAGAAGTTTAGTAAAAACAAGGGAAAGGGTAATGAGGGAAAGCAGGCATGAAACGGAAATAGACAATGCTGGATCTATTCCGTCTTATGTCTCTCAAGCTGTAAATGAGTTCCACTTATCTCCTCTGATGGATGGTTTAGTGTTCCTTCCTTCTCCGGTCACTTTCTCTCTTTCCCCAGAGAGCTTGCACAGGCACTTGCTCCCTGTTCCTTAATGAGTTAGGATTAAAATCAGCAGGACGCACCACCTCAATCCAACAAGCCGCTGACGTCACATACCAGTGCACCAACCGTGAACCTCCCCTCCTCCCTCTCCTATCCCAGTACAAGCTCAGCACAGATTCGTTCTCGTTATCTCTTCCATGTCTTCTACTTTCTATCACCTATTTCTTTTTGTCATCCCCTGCCCTTGTCGTTCTTTCCTGTAACTCACATTAGTACGCTTGTCTTTCTTGCTGACTTCCTATTGGTTGTTACTCTCATATTTAGGTCCATTTACTCGTAGCCAGGCCATCCAGCTTTAGGATTATCCTAGCTTTGATCTGCTGGCGAGCCACAGCCTAATTCGAAAATGTCCAGAGAGTTAAGGTGCTTTTGCTTCTCCCCACTGCTTATTTTTCCCTTTTTTGATTCTCTTTTCAAAGAATAAATGGTTCATGTTAATGAGTTTATGTAAATACGAGCCCATGTTGAATATAGTTCACTTCCCATGAATGAACCTTCTGCTTTTTAAAGACTTGATGTAAAGATTTGAATTAAATTCACAAAGAGCCTTATTCACATTTTATGAGATCAGCGATAATGTACTGACTGAATTAAAAGAACAGTCTTAACTTTCCACATGTAGAGGAGCTATAAAGCAATACTGTTTGCTTCAAGTCTTCAGAGGCATTTACATTTGGGAGGTGAGTTTAAGAGGGATTTGAATAGCATACATTTGAATGTGCAAGTTTGCACATTTGCCTTTGCTCCATTGTCATCTTAGTAGATTCTCAGATCAAGTGACAATCCTTCCAGACCCACCTCTGGTATTCTGTCAGTCAACTGATAATACATGACGTGACTCCATGACCTTTGTCACAGAGAACCTGAAGGGCAACCTTTTGTAAGAGCATTACCACCGTCTTTCATAAGGTTCCTGGGGACGTTGAGGGTAATACCAAGGAGAACTAATTGTAACTACCAAAGCCAAACGTTTTTGATTCAAAAGCACAACGTAAATTCCTTGGTGTATGATTTCTAATTGATAATCATTAAAGGGACGTTTTTAATGAAGGGGATCTATTAGCGTTGACAGTTAAGAGTGATCCTCGGCCACCAGAGGGGGTTCACGCTCTAATGTTAATCTAAAGACAAAGGTTGTAAAAGCCCAAAGCTTTGATTTGTGTAGTAGCTTGAGGACAGTTATTGTTATTGAGGTCACACAGGGTAAAGGGCATTGGGTCGATTTTTGTTGAATGTCAGTTTTTTATCTTAAAAAAATATATAAGGATATTTTCGTTCAACCTGAAACTCAATGGCCGGGGCTTATTTATTGTGAAGGACATGTGGAATTGTTTTTATTTTTTTCCACTTGTGAAAAAATGCCCACCCGCATTTATGTCCTTCATAAGAGGTTCGGTCAATCTGACCCAGACAGGACAGACAGACAGAGAGAAACACACACACACACACACACACACACACACACGCACGCACACACACACACACACACGAAGCTGCATAGAGAAGCTGTTTGATCCTGTTTTCCCTTGATCTTTACCCGTTGTAGTGTGTACACAAAACTATCCTAGAACATTATAAACATTTTAGATCTTCCAGAAATGTATAAACATTCGACATTTTCTCACACTGTCCCCCTCGCACCTGCACGCCGGAGGAGGGACTAAACAGAGACACAACCTCAGTGTAGTAACAGTGTAGTGCAGAACTACAATTATCTACCAGCAAAATGGCCAAAAGATATTCTGCTCAGAGAGCCTTGGGGCTAATAATGGATGAGAGTGAGTGGAATGCATTAGAAGAACACAGTGAAGTGGAACAGGAAGACTTGCCCATTGACTCACATGATGTTCTGCAGCATCACCTCATCAATATATTTTTCGGATATACTGCATTATAAAATGCAGTATATCCGAAAAATATATTGATGAGGTGATGCTGCAGAACATCATGTGAGTCAATGGGCAAGTCTTCCTGTTCCACTTCACTGTGTTCTTCTANCTTACAACCACCGAAACGTGGGGGCCTTGGATCTTTCTTACTCATATAGGAAATAAATGGACTGTAAATGGACTGTACTTATATAGCGCTTCATCCAGTCTTTAAGACCCCTCAAAGCGCTTTACATACTACATGTCATTCACCCATTCACACCCATTCATACAGAGCAGTGTACCTTACTCTAGGACCTAACATTCACACACCGTTGGCCATGCCATCGGGAGCAATTCAGGGTTAAGTATCTTGCCCAAGGATACATCGACATGTTGACTGCATGGGCTGGGATCGAACCCACAACCTTCTGGTTGAAAGACGACCACACTCCCTCACAGCCGCAGTCGCCCTAGCTAGATAAATAAGAAGAAGTAATTGTGTGGGATCAGGTTTGGTATGTTGACTTATCAGCTAAAGTATAAGAAATAATTGCTGCCTTATTTCCAAATTTAAATAATCTAGTGCTGTGCAATAAATATATTTATAGTTTTTATTTGACCATAAAGGAAGCACTTTAAAACACTCCAAGTTCGTCTCAACCACATTTTCCTCCAGGGCAACATTATAACAAAGTGGGAACATGTGTGCGTTTAATGGGAGATTGCCCACAGATGAGGTCTTTTTGGTCCAGTATATAATTGACTCTTGGAGCGAGACAGATCTGTGTGAACTTCGTTAAAAGAATGTACATTGAAAGTGTATGCTACTATAATGTTTATGCTCGTATACATTAACTCTAGGGATATGTGTGTATGCATGGGTGGACGATTGACATAATGTCTCAAAATGTCTTGGTACATTTGCTTTGTCCTTCAAGCCTGTGATATAAATCTGTGTGTGTGTGTGTGTGTGTGTGTGTGTGTGTGTGTGTGTGTGTGTGTGTGTGTGTGTGTGTGTGTGTGTGTGTGTGTGTGTGTGTGTGTGTGTGTATGTTTTGTTAACTCACCTCCCTGCAGAGTGTACTCGGTGACAGGACTGCTGTAGACGCCCAGGCCGGCTCCAGTGAAGGCAGCCACCTGGATCTGGTATTGAGTCCAGATGATCAGATCCTTCAGCAGACAGTAGTTGGTCTCTGGGCTGCTGATGTTCTTCTCCTGGTAATCACCTGGCAGCCCTGCCAGACGGTACCTACACACATACACACACACACACACACACACACACACACACACACACACAGACAGACAGACACAGACACGCACACACACACACACACACACACACACACACACACACACACACACACACACACACACTTGTAAACTTGTTGTTTGTAGCTGAAGTGACGGTGATTCATTATAAATTAAACATACACACAAATGGAGGTGGTAGAGCAGATAAGCCTGAATAGTTGGGGTTTTGTTGCCTGTCTCTTCCTTCTGACTTTTGAAGTGCCTTTGAGCATGAAGATAAACGCAGAACTGCTCCTGATATGTTTACTTTATATATGTTTCAAGAAAGTACTTGTTCTCCCCTCTGGTAGGAAGCTGCGGCCCATCAAGACCACATCCTCACCCCAAAGGAACAGCTCTTCATGACGGCATGAGGTCTCATCAATAAGGCCTTGGACCCCCACTGATACAGACTCTTATCCCACCCCATGGGATCTTCAGGTTGAATTCAAGTTAAGCCTACAGATCTGACTATATGCATTACATTAAACTTTATTTATTATTATCCACATTGTGCATATTAATATTGAACATGGGGACATTTGCATATTCCATCCTCTTCATAAAACATAGCTTTTATAAAAAAAAAAAAAATAACTTGTTTGTATCTCTATCATCTCTCATGCTTCAATGTTAAGGATCAAAATACAAACCACATATCTTGTATACATAAACCTACTTGGTTTAGATCATGAAATAAAAATATATAATGAATGCATTATAACCACATTTTAAAATAGAAATTAGAACAAAATAAGTGAATAAATACTTTGAACATAGCTTAAAGGCACACCCCTACAGTATGTCATAAGTACATGTTTTTGTAAATACAGTATTTTTGTTTTACCAAACTACAGTTTTCAATGATTTACCCACAACAACAATGACGTTTTTTTTCATCAGGTCCCCTTAATGATATACAAATACATCATCATACCAGGGTGCATACTGTATAAGTCTCTGAATACACATTGTAAAACAAACAAACCCTTTTCCCTCCACACAGTATCGCTTTGTTGGCCTAATGAGAGACAGAGGATGTATTTGAAAGGATTTTCTGTTGTAAGTTGCTTGAATCATGACCGAATGCCCTAAAGAATAAAACCCTTTAATGCCTGGTAGACATCTCCGAATAGTGCACCTCCAAGGCCTCACTTTACTACATGTGATATAAATGTCCACTTAAAAGGATATATGACCCAACTAGAGAGGGAGGTGTAATACCACTTAGGTATTGTACATATCTGATGGAGCTGAATGGAGTAATAATCCACATGTCAGCGTTTTAATACGGAGCGTACCCCGTAACAGGATATTTCAACGTTTCACCGGCTGAGTCAGCGCTCTATCACACATGCAAACTGTATACACACACTAACACACTCATGCACACTGATACACAAAGCGAGAGGGTGCTGGGGGCTGACAGAGAATCTTATTGGAGAGGAGATAACCCCTTTCTCCTCTCCCTCCACCTGACACACTACTACTCACACTGGGGGAGGAGGGGGAGGGGGAGCACATATTAAAGCTGGAATGATACAGTAGAGATGTATGAGCGTGTAGTTTCATGTTCAACTGATTTCTGAAGTGGAGACCGACGATACACTGAACGAGGATAAAGACCTGATAACTTCTACTGCAATTATATGCAAATTGTGTGTGAGGCAGCTGATGACAGTTTGATTACACCCAATGTGTCACACTTTAGGTAGACATCACAGTGAAGGACAGAGGACCAAGGGCAGCCAGAGCATCTGCACTTGTGTGCGATTGTTTGCGTGGCTATGAATCTGATAAAGAGGGATAACGGGACAAAAAAATATGTTGTAAACCTAATTACAATATACATGATTAGAGATGTCCTCTAAATCAGGGCTGGAACTAACAGTTATTGGGTAATCAGACAGTTATTTTTCAGCGATGTTCACTTAATAATCTTGATCTTTTTATTAAAATAAATGTCTGTTAAAGCCATTATCTTTCACCAAATGAGGTAATTGAGATTATGGCCCACGGCCCACCGACTGACCGCCCTCGTATTTGCAGCAACACAGTTTGAATACCTGGTAGGTGAGACCCAAAAGATCATGCCTGTAATGACTGCATATCGCCAAAGGTGCCACCGAGAACAAAATCTTTGATAATCTAACATTAAAATGTCAGAAATTCTAAAAAAGGCCTGTCACAATACTCCAAATTCCATGGCGTGAAATTGCTTAATTTGTCTGTCAGTCAAATTAATATAAATGTTTTATATTTTCAGTAGAATAAAAAGGCAGAAAGAAGTATGTATACCTGAGCACATATCCTCGGAGGACTCCATTCAGCTGGGGTTCAGGCGGGGGCTGCCACTGGACCATGATGGACTGGTTTGTCCGTCCACTGGCCACAATGTTCTTCGGAGGAGCGCTGGGTGCCTCTTCCCTCAGCATCAATCTGACACACACATAGAAAGAAAGAAAGAAAACACATACTTTTTAATATGTTTATTTGGTGTTTTGTAATGAGAACATTTGTATTCCTTAGTGTTGGCAGTGTATCTGTGCGTTTCATCTTATGTCCAACGTATCACCTTTATGGACAGCAGCCCAGGAGCAGTTTATTTCTTAATTAGATTAAAACAATTATTTTCCAAGAATCTTCATCTTTTCTAGTCTGCGGGTCAGACTGTCAGCAAAAACATTATCATGTTTGTCACTGGAGACACATGGGACAAAGCTGCAACTTACAATGGAGAATCATCTCACAGCCTAAGCAGCTCTGATTAATTCCTATTGAATTCTAGGCTCATCTCTCTGATCCCTCGTTCTCCACTTGTGTCATGCAATTTCATTTACTACATTTGCTTTTCATCTCAAATGGCTATATTGTTCATTTGTTTCAAACAAACCACCGCGGCTGCTGATGGAAACGTTTAACGCATCACTTCCAGCGCGCCAGAGGATTCCCCCTGGTAATGATCGAGCTGACACTGGGTGTTTAAAACAACAAATGTAAAAGCGTTCATGTGGTCGGTATGAGTTGAATCACAACTGTGTTTTATTAACTGGCTGATCATAACAACAAACATGCACTTTGTGTCTGCTTATGGCAGATTATTGTTTATATTGCTTTTCACTTAAGGTTTTTGAATTTCAAAGTTATACACAATAATTCTTTGTCCGAGCAGTTTTCTATTTCAAAGCTAACCCTACCACAGTAGCCTCGGTCAGCCAGCTCTACAGTAATACAGCAACATATATTTAATCACTATTAATTGAAAATGAACCAAGAGCGTGTCTTTTTATTTCTAGCAATCCTTCACCCTCTCTGCCCTCTTCAACTCTCCTCTATGTCTCCAAACCCTTTTCCAATCTTTCCATTCGACACTTTGATCCCCTACTTCATTTTTTCTCTCCCATCTGCAAACTTTCACCTTTCATCCATCGTGTCCTTTGGCCTCAATTATTTCATCCGTCTATCTTTTACTCATCTCCCTCCCACCTCTCCTGCGCTGTAAACCCCTCTCTACTACCCCCCCCATGCCCCACCGTGATTAAGGCTCCCAGCCCTCTCATGGTTGGTAAAGCACACAGGCTGAGCTGGTCAGCCTCTGGCTTTACTGTAAGCAGCTCAGCTAACGTAATCAGACCCATATGTGTCCTCACACCAAACAAATTTCTACCAGCTTAAGACAGACTGCTACATCCGATGGTCTTTTCCCTTCCATGGATTATGTCTGGAGATTTACATCCCTCCGCCCCCCCTCACTTCCCCTCTGTGCCCCATGTCTCCCCGAATGATTCTCGATGAGCTATTGAGCCATTAGCCGTGGTATGCCTCTCTGTATTTGTGTGTCTGAATCTTTATGTGCCGATGAATGTGTGTACACATTCATATGTGTGTTTGTGTGAAAGTAAGGGTGTGAAAGCTGTTAGCTGGAGACTTGCGCAGGCGGATATATGGCACAGGCCAGTGGTTTTACAGCTGTGCTTTACTTCCATTAGGTTAGGCACTGTCAGACAGCACCAGGTACTGCAGGAACACACACACACGCACACCCACACACACACACACACACCCGCACCCGCACGCACACGCGCACGCACACGCACACGCACACGCACACGCACACGCACATACACACACACACACACACACACACACACACACACACACACACACACACACACACACACACACACACACACACACACACAGGCTAATGGGCCTAGTGTGAATGAGATGGCATTAGTGTAGCCGCTTGGAAATGAGGTATATATAATCCTCAACTATGCCACTGCTTTTGACTGAAATTGATGATGCACATTAATGCACACACACAAATGCACGCTACACAAACACCCACACACCCATACAGTATTGAACAGATGTGGTCATTCACTATTTGCCTCAACGTTAAACACACACACGCACACTGGCATACTTATACTGGATAGCAGAAACTTCATGTGAGTTGCCTGATTTCCCTCCCAACCGTTTACGGGTAAATATTTCATACAGTGGGTTCAGTGTGAGGACAGTAACTTCACACCAGGGAGGACAGTAAATATACAAACTTTAACTTACGCATACACTTCACTTTCCCTCTGAAAAAACATCTAACATACAAACTAAAAGATAAACATGCACTGAATCCAAACAAATCAAGCACAAACTGTAACTTTGTCTAAACGCTGTGTGACATACTTTTCTGTCCCTTGTTATTAAAGAAAGAGCACAGAAAGGAGCTTTACATGTTATTCTAGTGTGTGTGTGTGTGTGTGTGTGTGTGCGTGCGTGCGTGCGTGCGTGCGTGCGTGTGCGTACGTGCGTGTGTGTGTGTGTTAGGACAAATGGCATCTCTGTGTAGATGAACACATAAAGTGCTCAGGGCTTATGGAGACAGACGTTGGATATACAGCTTGGCTGAGTTCAAACTACATAATAAGGCCTCTCCTTTCCTCACCACTCTTTCCTCCAAAACATTGTCTCATTTATTTACAACTGTTGGCTGAGGCAGTTGTCTTAGTTTAAATAGTTATCAGTGCTAATATTGACCTTACATGTCGCCATGAGTAGCTGTAACCTTGTTGACTTTGATCCCTGTAATGTCTTGGCACTTGCACTGTTTTGGATAATTTTGTTTTTCTTTCCCCTTGGCAACTATACTAACAATCCCACTGACAGTTTTTGCTGGGATGCTAAACAAACATGCTCCTCTGACCCTCTTAAAGGTAACCTAGGACTAACTGGAGCTTTCGAATCAGCATGGAGAGGGTTATAGTGCATGGACTGTATCACCAGGTCACAGTATTTATTCACTTGTGTGTAAATCACTCTCTTTACAGTCTCTGTGTGTGGGAATGCAGTAAAACGTAAGGGAGCCGAAATGCACTGCGACGTATGTATGGCTATTGCAGGATGGCAGAGCGTGTATATAAACCTCTGAGTGAACAGACCAACATGTGGAGACGCTGGGACACATGTGTTTACACATAAATGATCATGTATGCATGCACACCCACGCACAGGCAACAAACAAAGAACACACACAAGGATGGCGAGTGTTAGCCACGCATGCAGGCTCACATCCCCTCAGATATTAGCTCACACACAACAGATGCATTCCTTTAATTGTAATTCACACGATCATTCTCTTAATACAAAAGAGACGGAGGAAATTGTGAGAATGGCATAAGAGGAAGCCTCCTATTAGCTCTGCTGTTCAGAGCAAAGGATGACATTAACATGAGCATCCAGTCCCTTGAAGCTCACCCCGTCTGCATCGGAACAAGAGCCCAGTCAGTTCACAGCTGTACGCAGGCAGCCTACAGTTTAATCAATAAGAGAACTGCTTTTATTGCTTACCTATTTACACACAACGCTTTCACTGAGAGTTGAGTTATCTTTGTCAATAATGTATTGCACTGACAGCGATGTAACCTCCAATTAAGTTATACCACCTTCTTTCTCTGCATGACCAGTTCTCGTTTTCACTCCTCGGAGAATAGGAACAGGGGGGAGGGATGGTTTAACAAGTTTGGCTCACTCTAAAAACAAATGACAGCCTACAAAAAAAATGTGGCATTACAATGGAGAATTAAAAGGCTTGACATTTACCAAGGCTCATTTATATGGCTGCCCATACTTAGCTCATTGGCAGCCCCCATTACACTGGTAGAGCAGGAGTGAGAGGCTGGGCCGGGCAAACACAGTGGGGTGAGCCGTTTACGGCCGATGGAAGGACGGTCCTGTAGATGAATGAACACCTGGATTAATGGGGTCAGTGAGCACCAAGCTGCTGAGGAAGGAGAATCCCAGCCAAGGCAGCCATTTTACATTTTACTATACTGCACGTCTCATGGACCGTTTTCCTCTGCTGATTTTAGGGGGGCAGCAGGTCCCACGGGGGCACAATGGAGCAAAGAAAGGACATGTTTGGACCTGTGCTGTACTGCATATAGCACATGAGTAGTGGGGGTGCGAGTTATACAGTAATTATTTTGTGAAGCCATTTCAAGACAAAACCCAATGCTTGTTTACAATCATGTGTACAATCGTGAGAAAATGTTATAGTTTTGAGTCTTTCAGGAACTGAGCTCATCTGAATTGGTAAATGCACCGTTTTTAAGATAATTCATGGTGAAGAGATGAACTGTCTTGAAATCCACATCATTTTCTGGGGTGCCATTTTTTTTATTACTTAAATCATTTGAATGTCTTTTAGGAGTAAGTTGGGCTCAATTTGCACCTGAAAACCTTGACTCCTCTATGAAAATGCTTTACAATGCAAGCTAAATAGGGAGGGTGCTGGCCCTTTAAATGGAGCTCTGAGTGCTTGGCAGGCTAATAGATGCAGTGTAAAGGTGCTAGTGGATGGCAACCTGAAAAATTGTCTTATCTGAAAAGGTCCAAGACAGTTATAAATGAAATAATCGCACTGGGCACATTAATCCATGTTCATGCCCGAGGGGGAGACCTCCATTCACTATTTGATCTGTGCGTGGGTGCATGTATACAGGGTATGTGTGTGCACATGCGTGTCTCTGTGACCAACAAACCCCTTTCACACTTTCCCCCCCCTCCTTCAATCATTCTCTTTTTGAGCTAACAGTGTAGGTTTCGTTATTCTCTCAGGCAGGAGAGAAAAGTAAATACATTTAGGTCACAATATGCAATTTGGCATGACCACTGGACCACTACAGTTTAAATGACGTGCAGTTGTTGCTCATTATGTTCCTGGAGTGAGAGGGAGAGTTAGGGCATCTCAAGGACAGGAGAGAGACAGTCCTCTTTTGTTGAGGATTATTTCCGTCATAAGAGACCTGGTATATTAGCAACAGTACGTCCCCTTCCTCACAAAAGCTTTTTTTCAGTTTGTATTCGCAAGAAATGGTGTTCAGCTGATTTAAAGATGTCAAGCAGTTCATCACTTCACACCAACAGCATACTAATGACTTTGTATTTTCCCTATAATTCAAGTTACACTTTATGTATCATTCCATTTGGGTACAAAACTGTGCCTAAAGACTAAACTATAATAGGTTTTACAGTGTAACTCATTGTTGCCTGGTCATTTCCCTATTGTCCATGGTTTTTGCTACTATTTAAGAGTTATTTTATGGCAAATATAAATAACATTAAATCGTTTAACATTTGTAAAATGTTATTTTAGTGATTTATATATTTTACATTTTATATAGTCCATTATTTATCAATAAACACAATTGCTCAAGTTACTTCAGAATGAAACATAAGTACATTAATTAATACTGAACACATTTTGATTCAGCTTTTGCTTTGTGTTTAACCAGCCAAACAACTTCTTTTCATGAGGAAGTTTGAGAAAATGAGAAGTGACATCTAGTCCAGTGAATCCATTGATCAAAGGAATTCCAATTTGTGGGAGAAAACAAACTACAACTCAGTCAACACTGCCATCTACTGGTCAATAATCTTACCAACCACTGAATCACTGCTATGTGTATGCACAGAACTGCTATGTTGATTGAAAAAATCCAAATTTCCTCTGGTACACCGAGTATTTGTAAATGATCTACTTTATATGAACTTATTATAGCCTATTATCATTCTCCTCTAATAATGTTTACTGGCCATCTGTCCCAGTATAACCAATTGTGTACTAGTACATGGCAATGCTGCCACCTAGTGAGCACAGGCTGAAAACACAAACAGAATATTTAGACTGTAATTGTGAAAGATGTGATCGGTTAACGTGAAAGATTTTTCCTCACAATTGAAGGCAAGTAAGAGCAGGATAACCATTGCTTTGGTCAAGTTTGAAGAATTAAATGTTACCATTTTGCCGACTTTATTGAAATCAAATTAAAAACAGCTAGCTTCAAGGAATAAAAGCTAATGCAACCAATAGTAGACTCGCCTGAAGCCTAAACACATGTATGTTGTTTGTAATATATGTTTGG